GCCATCGTTATTTGTATAAGCATCTATGCTAGTGTAGATCTTTGCGTAGACACCCTGGGCTCGGGATAAAATTTAGGGATCATTTACATCTTTTTTACATAATTTGTCTAGCTGTTTTCTTTCTTTCTTTTTTTGTGTTCCTCCATTAGACACAAATTTCTTCTCTTCAGTTATATATATAGTTCTCTCCTCGTTTAATTTTGCCTAAAGTTTGAACATTTGCAGCATTATATTATGAAGCAGAATTTGTTATCTTTAAAACCTTTTGCATCCCTCAGCACATTAATTATATTTACTCTCTACATGGCTCGTAACCTATCGCGTCGATCTACACAAAGAGCGTGCCAAATCATGAGAAAAAGAAAAACCGCGTCACAAACAGTAGCCTACAATGTTCTTGTTCTGGCCTCCCTTCAACACAGTGGTCCTTTTTCTTTTTTCTTTGAACCAGTTCATCAGTTCATTCTACAACTTCGTTTAAGTTGTTAGGTCTACATCTAGATCTAGACTCTAGATCTAGATCTAGATTTTCCTTGGACTTGTTTGCTTATACATAGGCTAGACATCAAGGCTATAGGCCTAGTCTAGATCTATAGGGAGTCATTCAGATCCATAGATGTACACTATAGGTTTAAAAGGAGGTAACTCTATGGTCAGATCTAGATTTATTTGAATACTCCCAAACTTCCTGGCGCCCAAATTTGAACTTGAGCGTTTTTTGGGCTCAGCTGCATGGCAGGCGGGCGACAGCACCTCATTTCAGCCTTGTCTAGATCTTGAATCTAGATAGATCTAGATCGATCCATGCAAGTTCAAACAGTGCTAATGATGACAGACCTACTATAGTAGGGTAGCCCGTAGGTAGTATAGAGAAACGAGCTTTGACGAGTTTTCCTAACATTTTGAATGATTTTGCCATCCGTTTAATAATAATAATAATAATAATAATAATAATAATAATAATAATAATAATAATAATAATAGTAATAATAATAATAATAATAATAATAATAATAATAATAATAATAATAATTAAAAATTAAAAAATTATAATAATAATAATCATCATCATCATCATCATAATAATAATAATAATAATAATAATAATAATAATAATAATAATAATAATATAAAAAAAATAAAAATAATAATATAGATCTAGATCTAGATCTAGATCTAGATCTAGATCTAGAGGATCTAGATTTAGAATCTAGATCTAGAATCTAGATCTAGATCTAGATCTAGCATTTATATAGCGCAATTCCAAAAAATTAGCTCAATGCGCTTTGCATTTGAATCCCCGTTTGACAGAGTGTACCTTAGCTCCTTAGTGATTCCATAGCAACGGGAAGCATTTTCCTTCGTAAGTCCTTGTCAACTTCCTCATGATATGTGTGGTATATAATAAAATGTCACCAAAAGCATTTAGATCTAGGCCTACTTTGTGTTTTGGTTTAAAATTCCCATCTTCTCTGAGGAAGTTATTTTTTATCTCTAGAAAATCTAGATCTAGAATCTAGATCTTCTAGATAGATCTAGATCTAGGTCTAGAGCTAGATATCTAGATCTAGAGATCTAAATCCCAATCATATTATTATTAGCCCAGATCTATTGTCCCGCTCACTGAAGAGAGGGCACCCAGTTCATGTTTGTTTACTTTGAAATTAGATCTAGATCTAGATTCTAGATACAATATACAAAAGCAGAATTTTTGGCGCTTTTTCGGTTGTTCCCACCACGCAATTGTTATTCGCGGGTTTAGGCCCCAAGAGTAGGGGGGTTTCAGGGGGGCTTCCCCCTAACCTAATATAAATAAGGTGGGGGGGTTTCAGGGGGGCATGCCCCCCCTGAATTTTATCACAATTTAATGTTTTGCAATTGTTAGGTTTGAATCAAACGTGTATAGATCTAGATCTAGAATCTAGATGTAGATGTAGATCTAGATTATATCTAGATATCTAGGCCAGGCTCAAATAAGGGGGGTGGGAACTACCGAAAAAGCACCAACTTGTTTTGTATTGTGAATTATCTACTTCTGTCAATATAATATTAGATCTAGATCTAGATTGTGTTTTTTTAAAGGGAATATTATTTTTTCCGTGCGTAGTTCCGGCACGATGTGTATCTACATCATTGATCTTTGCGTACACATTATATCTTTACTATTAAAAAATTTTTTTTTTCTTTTTTCTTTTTTCTTTTCTTTTCTTTTTTTCGTCATCATCTTTTGTGTAAACACCATGTATTAGTTTCGGTTTTTCTTTGAAATACAAAAGGTGGATTTGTATCGTTTCGCTAAAAGTAAAAGCACGTGTGTTTAGCAAAGCAGCAATTATCTCTCCTAAAATATTTTTTGGAGAATGAATGGCATATTAACTTGTTTTGCTCTGAGAATTACCTTCTCCTAACTGTATAACATGATATGTTTTTTTTAATGGAATATTATTTTTTTCGGGCGTATTTCCGGCTAAAGCAAAGATGTTATACTAATTAGTACCCCATTTCGCAGAAGTGCTGTCACCCATGTGTAAACGGAAGTAATGCCACACACTCTGAGACACAGAGCTTCAAGCGCGGATAAACAGACGAATTAGTAGCATACTTTTTGAGACAGAATGGTGGTGTTTAGAATACTAGAGCTAGTGGGAAGCAGGATGGGGTTCAGAGATTGTACATGTAAATGGGGGCCTGCCGGCAATCCCAACAAGAGTAAGAAATTACCCATGTCTGACATGTGGAACGTCATGCTGTGAGCTATTAGGCTATAATCTTTGGATATTAATTAAAGTAAGGGAAGATAACCCTAAAAACTCACCCCCCCTTCAGTATTTTTCATGGTTACCTCTCTTTGACCGTATTTTCAGTATTATTGTATAAATTTCGTACATAATTTTTCCCACACAACTGTTTTGATGTGCCAGATGGATAGAGCTCGCTTTTCTGAGAAATTTGATACCAAAATTACCAATATTACTTCATTTTTCGGCCAGTTACAGATGTTCAAAGTTCGGTAATACTTGTTGTGGCCTAGAAGAATGTCTAGAATCTAGATATCTAGATCTAGATCTAGATTTAAATCTAATCTTAATTTTTGCTGACAAGCCTCACTGTGTTTGGTACCTCAGTGACTACCTGCTGATCCAGAACAAGATATCTAGATCTAGGGGCACTTCTGTACAATTGCGGTCCCGTTTGTTTACATGACCATTGTGGAAGTGAATCTAGATCTATAGATCCCGATAGAATCTAGATCTAAATCTAGATTAGATCTAGTAATCAAGATTCCACTGCCCACAGACAAAATTGTACGCTTTTAGTAGGCTACAGTTGTAATGGAACGTTTGTTCACGGCACAGAATTCTACAATTTTTCTGTTATCACAGTGTAGAATTCTGTGGTTTAGGGTGAACGCAAAATTTGGTGAACGCGCACCGGGTGAGAATAGCCACAAGACTCGCCTGCACTATTCTCACTCCGGGTGAGAATAGAGGTGGCCTTTTCAATATGTCCCACTTTCGAAACCTGACAGCGGCAGAAATTCAAAGTTTTCTTTTCTAAAATGTTCTCCTTTCACCTCTTTTAAGCTGCTCTCTAATCATGTTCTGTCTTCTGATTCCGTCTTCACATTTTACTCCCCTTCCCCCTCCTTTGGGCTCCTGACTCTTTTTGTTGCCTTTCTACTGCTACTTCTTCGCTCCTTCGTACTGCGCTGTCTTTCAGCCACACGTCGCATCTAACACCCAGTCGTGTCGGATAAGGGCGAAAAATCTCAAAGGTCCCGTTTTTAAGTTACACACATTAGAGATCCTTTGATGGTCCAAAATCGATAAGAGTAGGCTTCGGCCGCCACCTGGGCAAAATTGTAAAATAATTCCTCCACAACTGAAAATGTTTAGATCTAATGTATCCCACATGCACATATTCACCTTAATGCACTTGCAATTGTGTGCCGTAAAACACTTATCAATTTATATATTTGTAAAAATGTAACTGTTTGGACATCAAATTTGTAGATATGAAGAAAATCAATCATGGTTTTTCATATTGACATCTGTAACGTACCCTTGGTTGAATTAAAAAAAAATTAAAGTTTTGTTGAAACCAGTTGAAAGATGACCTATGTTAAACAGCCCTTTAAATGGGCCCTCTTTTTTTAGACTCCCGTTACTATCTCTCTATTTCAATAATGATGCTAGATTAAATGTGTTAAATTTGTTGAAATAGATTTATGCAATAAAAAAACTGATGATGGTTACCTAACGTATCTATGACATGGTTTTTATTGTTTCATTACAGTGGGGAGATATTTGCTCACAAGACAAACGTGTGTGCCTCAGTGACAGAGACCTGGTCTATCTCCTGGACAGGAGGAGAGATCAATGGTCAACCAGAAACTGGAGGAGGGTGAGGAACCGGAGAACAAAATGTTACTGAAACAACAGACTTTAGCGAAACATAGAGGGAAAAGAAGACAAACTTACGTGGTGTCTGCTGAAACCAAACACAGTTCATCCGATAATCATATGGCGGTAAACCAAAATAAAATGATATCTCTGATTTTTTTTCTTCGGTTGAAGCCACCTGTACTCATCACTACGAATGACAAAGTAGAGAGAGCTATTTTATGAGCTGTTATGCTGATGGCGAAGGACGTTCTAAACTGTCCAATAAGATGTTATATGTGTGATCGATCAGGGGGAACTAGGCTCCTTGAAAACCTGTCTTCCTGTCATTGCCACATTGTTGGTGTTTGTTTATTCTCATGTTTTTGCTATGATAATAGATTGATATAGTTGATGAAACATACAGTTCAATAAACCTATCCGTACGTCGTGTTTTACTTTCACGACGTGGGGAACTCTGAGCCACCACTTTCAAAAGAGGTAATTTACTCTTTAATCAGAATAGCAGTCTGTCAAAATGATTTTTGGAAAAATACTAAAAGTTTCAAAGTGACCTTGGTACTAAAAGTATTCTAAAAATGTGAAGAATACAACCCCGTGGGAACTAAATGACCCCAGGGTGTATGGATAGGGTTAAGGCTCATTGAGAAAATTGACTTCAGACGGATGTCTCTATAAAAACTGATAAAATTAGGAGCTTACTTTTGATTATTTCTGATGTGAGGAAATTGTATTCTCTGTCCCCAGCTATTTCCATAGAATCTGTACTTTCTACCTGTGCTGAAAGTGGCTTGAAAGAGCACCAAAACTGGTCCCTCACATCGGTGGATCAACTGTCTGTTGCTATGGAGAGAAGCTTTCTACCTAAAACATCCACTTTTTCTTATTTGAACATTCCAAAGTAAACCATGGTCTTGTTCTTGTTTAGTGTGTGTTTGTGTGTGTGTACTTAATCATAGTGTGTGTGTTTTATGTGTAAATCAAATAATGAGAACATGGTCTTGTTCTTGTCCAGTGTATGTTTGTGTGTGTGCACTTAATTATACTGTGTGTGTGTGTTTGTGTGTAAAGCAATAAATTAATAATGAGAACAAAGACAATTGATTGATTGTAGTTGTGTCTGTTACCATAGCAAGCTGTTGACTGTGAATTTATTGAATACATAAAAATGTATATATGGAAGGTTTGGAGGGGGGGTTACTTGGCCAGTGCCCACTATCTTGACCCACCTTGTGGGTAGAGTCTGTTTCTTGTTTTGAAAAGTTGGCAGCTTTGTAAATGGAGAGTTGTGACTGCGATGTGTGTCCTTTAAATCATCCTTCTTTTTGCAATTTTTGTTCTTTCTTGAAACAGAATTCCTGCTTGCCCAGCCACTGGAGGTGAGGGTGTTTCTGAAAACTTGCACAACAGGCGTGGTAAGGAAGTGAAATTTCTTTTTGTGCCATTTGGAAAAAGGTTAAAGGGATGTAATCCATAAAACTATTTCAATCAGGATTGGGATAATATTGTTTATGTTCCTTTCATATGTTGTGTCCATCTTCTCATCTGTGACCAGTCACACAATGTTCTTGTTCTGGCCTCCCTTCAACACCGTGGTCCAATGGTTGACTTTTCTTTATTATCTACTTCTACACCTATGTTGACTCATCTCATACATTACCGACGTCCGTGCTCTCATGATCCTGTTCTTTGCCGCAGATTCTATCTATTCTATCATGCCACCTTGTGAACTAGTTTTAGCTGATACCATCAAAGGTTCTCTATAATACACGATCTTTGGTAGCGTTCCACAATGATTTTTAACATACATTTAGTGGCCTTAGAGAACCACTGATATGTCACCCCGTTCTTTTGCTTTTTCAAGATCCTCTGGTTGCCTGTGTACATTAATCGGGGTTGAGCGCTATATAAATGTTATTTATTATTTATTATTATTACGTACTTGCTTCATTTTTATTTTGCCTCAGATCCCAACAGTCGTCCGTACCTGAGTGCCATGGAAGTCTTGCCCTTCCTTGAGATACAGCCATAGTTCTCTCCCCTGATCATAGAATACGAAGCTTTCATCGACAAAGACATCTTGACGGTTCGGATCCAGGCAAGGTCTAAGCTCTGTGGCGCCATCGGTAGCTGGATAACACAGTGGACAGCAAACAGTAAGTCCAGGTTTTGTCTTGTGGACAAGTCAACATTTCTCTCTGACAAATTAAAGATTGATTGTAATGATTGTAAATGTTTTACACCCCCATCAACACTTTTTAGGTCAGTCAGGTTGTCAGGGCCAACCCAGGTTGAGAGGGATACATTTTTAGACAATTACCCTCGAAGTTAAGATTTTTTCAACCTGTTGGTCTTGGCCTCTGCCTTTTTTCCCCCATCAATTATTCAGGTCAAGGCGAGGTATTTGAGACCTATCATTGTGACAGCATTTGTGTTGAAAAGCTACTCTTGTTTTTTTTGGTTTCATTTTTTAAAATAAGTTTTGATGAAGCATCATAGCGGAAACGGCTTTTCTATCACTTATGGGACACGTTTTCTTTGATGTAAGCCGAAAGAGGGTTAAAAAAAACTAGGGGATTAACATACACCTAATTTTAAAACATTTAAAAGTAGACACATATTCCTCAACACTACACTCAACCATTCGCCTAAGAAATGCGATTCTACAGACTGGGTGAGTAATTTTCGAGACTCGCGTGGAGACGTCTAGACTACAGGGAGATGTAGTCAACAAGCTTACACTGAAATGTGGGGGCAGGGTGGTGTCGCTGTAACAAAATGAGCAATTTGTAGGCAAGGCTACTGTAAGTCATCTACTTTAGTGATCCTGTGTATGCATCGAAAGAGCGGTTTTTAATATAGATCTAGGGCCCAAAGATAAATTTTTGTTTAATTAAGGGGTCAAGAATTTAAAAAAAAATTTTTTTACTTCTTCCCAACAACTCCTAACAGTAGAAATGTAAATCTTTAGCAATCCAGTTATGGAAGAAAAGATTGTAAGATTGTAATAGTGCCGTTATGACATGAAGGACATTCCTTCTGCAGATGCACTGATCATTGTCAAACATGGACGGATGAACGATTTTTATTATTATTGTTACTTTAACTCATTCGCAACGTATTATTTTCGGCTTGTGGACGAATTCTTTTCGGGAGGGCGAAATGAGATGATGACTAGTGCGCAGTTCACAGGTCTTTGGGGCCATAAATTCAAATAAATATCAACATATTATATACCAACATTTTCAGTATGGTTTGTAGAATACACCTGCATTATTTATTTGCGTATTTTTCAACTTTTGTTCCTGTAAGAGGCGATTATGCAACACAATTGTGATTGGATGCGGATAAAATTGGAAAATAAAAAATTTATAATCTCAGGTGAAACTAAAAAAACATGTTTGCACCTAGTCAAATGATACCTCAAAATAACCATAACTGTATATAGAACAGGAAAATATTGAAAAATGTGCAGTTATTTTCATACATTCCATTATATTTGTACATTTGGATCATAACATCCGATATTGAAAAAAAATAATTTTTAAAATAATTTTGAAAAAAGGATCACAAACAGAAAAAAATACGCGTAACTTATATGGAATTATTCAGAATTGCACTTGGAATAAACCTATACATGTCTTGAGTGGTACTTTTTGATTAATTTTACCCAAAAGTAGTGATTTTGGGGAGAAAAAAATATTTTGACTATTTAGATCTAGGCCTAGATCTAGCACTCAAAAATATTGATTTCTCAATTACAGTGCACCGGCAATTTGCGTCCAATAGTATCAATTTTATAAAGAAGAGTCCTACACTTCTTTAGTGAGCAAAATAATTATACATTTTGTTGTGTAAAAGTACTAAGACTGGTGTCTGGGCTATAATTTGGGCTTCGCGAAATAACAAAGTCGAATAAACTACGAAATCATGTTTCAAAACTGAATCAAAACTTCAGATTTTCGGTGGAAACGCTTGACCCGGAAGTCAACATTATATTATGACCTTTATTTTAACATGGATAAGTGGATTGGAATAGAAACCAAGCTAAAATTGAACGTCGGTTCTCGAGCCGGCGGCGGCGGCTTAACGTACTGACGGCACTTGAGCCGCGCCTCCCCCCACGGCTCGGCGTAGCGAATGAGTTAAATTTTTAAAATTGTTATTATTAGTTTTATTGCCATTATTATTGTTATTATTGTTATTTTTATCATTTTTATTATCAGTATCATTACAGAGTAACACGGATAGCTCGAATTCGTCAGGACCGGCCTCTGTAGTTTGAGGGATCCGTAGTTCCAGGGATATCTTACAAAGATAAAGAAGAAGAAGAAAAAATGGGAATGCGTGCACAGTTCAACGAATGCATGATTTTGAATCTTCTGTGCTCGACCTATCCATGTTATAGTTTATATTATTATTATTATTTGTATTGTGATTAGTAGTAGTATTATTAGTATTGTAATTGTTATTATTATGATCGTCACTATCAGAATCATTATTATTACTATTATTATTGTTTTTATTATTATTATAATTATTATTATTATTATCATTATTATTATTTGTATTATTATCAATTTCATATTTGTTTATAGTATAGGCTAAATAAAAAATTACTAAGATGTGAATTTGTTGAGAGAAAGAAAGAAAAGAAGAGGATTGTCATTTGTCATCCCCAGCAGTGTTCCCTGCTGTACGTGAGAGACAATCCCTGTGGTCTGAGGCCAGTCAAGCCAGTGCCAATATAGAGTCAGTATCTCACTGACCGCTCCTCTACCTGTGTGTGGGAAGAAAACTGTGTTTGGTGAGAATGTAAAAAAAATGTCACTGAAAATATCATCGGTGTACATTTCTTGTGAGAATTTTCAGGTTTCAAATTACAACTATAGTTGAACCTGCCTCAATGGCCACCTGTCTAAGACAATCACCTGTACAAACGGCCACTTCCCACTTCCTCCTTTGTGTTTTCCTGAATTATAATAACACCTGTGCTAGACAACCATCTGTCTAAAACAATCACTTTTCTCCTCAATAATGGGTGGCTGTCTTGGACAATTTCCACTCTACTTTGTGATTTCTCTGGCACCCCAGTCTCTTGTAGATTCAGCACTTTATTCATTGGTACAGATTGCAATTTGTTCTTGAACTTCAAATGTTTTTTTGTGTGGATTAAACAAGGAACAATTCTAGAAGATAATGTTGCCATTTGTATATGACATCAGTATGATCTTATTTAACTTATGGTATCTGGGAGCTGTTGAAAAATTTTGAATAAACTCTTGTCCCATTTTTAATCCACGGAGCAATGATATACTTCTAGTTTTAACTATCTGGCAACAAATATTTTATGTTGTGCCTGTCAGGCTTTCAGTTTTAGAGTTTTAGTTGTACTGTCCTTGAGTTATAGCCCTTGTCACATGGATCTATAAATGTTGTAGTTCTTGGAAATCTGAAGCCTAAGTCCTGTATCACTTCATAATGAATCAAAAAGTTTTTATTTTACACGTGTTATTTTATGTACCGGTTGTTGCAATCCGTACCAAAACATTTTCTCTTTTTCTTTCCACTGACAGATGTCTTCAGAACGTCAGAACCTGACAGAAATGTTCAACTATCTGTCCGGAGAACATTCACAACGCTACCATGTTGAAGGGGACATCAGTGCTGCTTACTCAGAGATGGTCATCATCAGGATCTGTCGGTAGATTTGACTGGACAAAAGATGAAGCAGACATAGAGATGTGGATAACTGAGTGGATCAGAAAAACCCCTCATGTCTAGCTCATCCCGAATATTCCCCACTATTTTTTAAGCTCATCCCCAGTATTTTCTAGCTCTTCCGTAATATTTTCTAGCCCATCCCCAGTATTTTCTAGCTCATCCCTAATAATTTTAGCTTATCTCCAGTATTTTCAAGGTTATCCCTAATATTTTCTAGATCATCCTGGATATTCCCCATTATTTTCTAGCACATTCCTAATATTTTCTAGCTCATCCCCGAAATTTTTTAGCTCATCCCTAATATTTTCTCGTTCATCACCAGTAGTTTCTAGCTCATCCCTAATATTTTCCAGCGTGTCCCCAGTATTTTCTCGCTCTTCTCTAATAATTTCTAGCTCATTCCGAATATTCCCTACTATTTTTCAGCTCATCTTCAGTATTTTCTAAATGATACCTATTATTTATAGCTCATCCCTAACTAATATTTTCTAGCTCATCCCCAGTAGTTTCTAGTTCATTTGTAATATTTTCTATCTCCTCCCCAGTATTTCTAGAATATTCTTATTATTATCTAGCTCATCCCCTGTGTTTTCTAGCTCATTCCCAATATTCCTCACTCTTTTTTTGCGCATCCTTACCATCTTCTAGATGGTCCCTATTATTTTCTAGCTCATCCACAATATTTTCTAGCTCAACCCTAATATTTTCTAGCCCATACCAAGTATTTTCTAGATTATTCTTATTATTTTATAGCTCATTTCTTATAATTTTTAGCTTATCCCCAGTATTTCCTAGGTCATCTCTAATATTTTCTAGCTCTTCCAGAATATTCCCCACTATTTTTAGCTCCTCCTTAGTATTTTCTACCTCCTCCCTAATATTTTCTAGCCCATACCCAGTATTTTCCAGAATATTCTTCTATTATCTATTTGTGGTATCCGAATTTTGCTATTCAAAAGGCTTTTTAATTGCCGCATCGATCGACATGCGGTTTTCGCCAAAAGATTCTTTAAAATATTCTCCCTAATTATCATGACGCCCTTCGTTTTGTCACTTTTGAGACAGTTTTGCTGCAAAAAGCTAAATTTCTTTATTTCGCTGATTGCTTTTGTAGGCCGATGCTTCTGTCTCTGTAATTTTAGAAAATCCGCCAGGTTTGTTTATTTCAAGTTGTACTTCCGTTCGGTACTATCGCGCATTGTCGCGCAATACTGAGCACTATTTTAATTGTGCAACCCGTATAGATCTAGCCTCATGTTTTCTATTTTTACTTGGAGCTAAATTCAACTGTGATCCTTTCGTTTGATGCCCATCTTCGCTTTTTCTGGACTCCTTTGTCAAATTCTTCTCCTTGCTACTTGGAACAACGTCAACAGGTCTTAGATTAGAATCTAGATCTAGATAGCGCCTGACCATGCCGAAAAGAAAACGACGTTCTGCAGTTGGAACCCCTCACGCTCGCAAAGGTCGAGGTAGTAGGCCAATGACTTTCAGTTGATGATAATGTACCGATCATCCCTTTAATCAAAAGGGGACCCAGCTAGTATTATTATATAGCTCATCCCCCGTGTTTTCTAGATTGTCCCCATTGTTTCTAGCTCATCCATATTTTTTTTTAGCTCATTCCCAGTATTTTTTAGCCCATCCCATATATTTTCCAACTCGTCCTCAGTATTTTCTAGCTCATCCTTAATATTTTCTAGCCCATCCCCAGTATTTTCTAGATTACCCCTATTATTTTCTAGCTCATCCCTAATAGTTTTGAGCTTATCCGCAGTATTTTCTAGCTCGTCCCTAACATTTTGTTGCTCATCCCCAAGTAGTTTCTAGCTCATTCGTAATATTTTTTAGCTCATCCCCAGTATTTTCTAGATTATCCCTATTATTTTCTAGCTCATTCGTAATATCTTTTAGCTCATCTCCAGTATTTTTTAGATAATTCTTATTAATATTATTATTATCTAGCTCATCCCCAGTATTTTCTAGATTATCCCTATTATTTTCTAGCTCAACCCTAATATTTTCTAGCTCATCCCCAGTGTCTTGTATTGAACAAAATTGTTATCGGGTCCATGCTCTGCATTCTCTCAGTTGTCCGCCCACTTTGAAAAATGTTTGTTGCTTCCTGGTGTATGGTATGGGTTCACACCCCTGTCTGAGCTTTCAACATATTTGGTAACGTAACAGGTTGGACCTCCAAATTTTTCGTTCGCATCCAGCAGGATCAAACTGGTCACAATGGGAGGAAAGTCTTGAAAACTCTCAAAATACCTGAAAAATTCCCCACTGGAGATTCAAACCCAGGTCCTCCTCATCTTTGTTTAGCAGAGCTAACTATGCACACTTGACTGTGCTACCACAACTGTATCTTCCAGTTGATCTTGTCTTGTTTTTTGCCATCATTTTTGATGTGATGGAATTTGTTCCTCGTTGACTTTGACAAAGAAAACCGTTCCAAGGATTGTGATGTACTTTTACTTCGGTGATTTATTATATAGTAGGCTTATGATGAACGTGTTTGAAGATTAGAGATTGTGTGTTCCCCCGGGGCGGTGCTACTGACTGAAGTGTCTTTAGGCCATTCCCAAAGGGGGGGACATTAACATCTCAAGTTCTTATGCACAGTAGAATTGTAATTGTAAATGGGCTGATTCATCAATGTCACGCTCATAACTGTGCCTGACCTGCAACAGGGAATTGCTGCTTTTTCTGTCCTAATCCTTACTATTTAATTGTTATTTCTCCACTACTTCTTTTGTATTTTTGTCGCCCTCTTGTAACCCACTATTTACGGGGTGCCTTGATAGTCGAAGCAGACTTTGTGCTGTTGAAGCTAGAGAGGTGAACAGAGTAAGTGTGATTCCCTGTAAGGACTTCTCTGTTGACATCCACCACTTGGCGCTCATATGACCTTGTGCAGTTGCAAGCGCAGTAAAACTTCTCCTTAAACAAACAAGTGATTGTGTGTGTACCTGTGAAAACAATCCAAATGTCGCAGATATACTTGAGATAGCAAGGCTATCTAACAAAGATCTACGTAAACATTTATCAACAAAATATGTTTGTATTATTCCAGTTTTAGAAAAGTAGATTGTTGTGATTTCTGCTTCCACTGCCAGTCTGCCAAATGCAAATTTACGCATAGGTAACATTCTTATACTTAAAATTGCAAGGAAACTCTTGTCATTTTCATCATCACCACCACCATCATCTTCATCATCATCATTATTGTCATCATCATCATCACCATCGTCATCATTGTCATCGATTTTGTCATCAAGTAGGACATTTTCAAAGCCAAACAAAGCCACCCTGAAGCAACTGGTGTCTGTGGTGTAGCGGTCAGGTGCTTCACCATTGCATGCAGGAGACTCAAGTTCAATTCCCAAGTGGGGAGAAGATTCCATCGATTATCTCAGTCTTTCTGCTGGGATTTTGCATCCTTCTCAATCCGGGTTGGTCCTGACAGGCAGGGTCAAAACCCGCCTCCTAGATAATCTAAATTGTGTTGATGGGGGCGTGAAAGACACCAACTAAAAACAACCTGGAACAGGTCAGAGCTGCTGTATTGTAGGATGTCAATCGTCTCTTGACTTGAGACGTTGAAATTCTGTTTGTTGAGTTTGCAGGTGTGGTAGACTTGTTGAAAAAATGATTCTGTTTGCTTTATTTCACTGGTTCAAATCAATTCACAATGACTTGTGCCTCTTACAATAACTTTATAGATTTGAAATATTTTAATGACTTCATGAACAAGTGAATGCTGCATAAATGTTGTTATTGTTAATTTTCTGTAGTGTGCCTTATATTACTATCCATTTTAATAAATATGTTTGAAATTTACTATAATTCTTATGAGTTCACTTTGTCTTCTTTTTGTTGAAAATATTTTTTCTAGCACGTCTAGATGCATTTACCGAGTTACAGATGGTCTCGATGAAAGAACAGAATGTCACACTTTTGTCAAACTAGGGGTTGTGTACCGACTTTTCAAAGTACAAAAATGAAATGAATTTAAAGCGGTTGAATGTATCAGGGTAAAAGTAGCCTACATGTACAAACTATGATGTTCAGCAGGTTCTACAGATATATAATACACAAAATAACTGTTGTTTTCTACGAGAATGAGTCTGAAAAATCGAAATTAAAATTCTCAAAAACCTTTTAAAAATCGGACATATCTGATATTTTTTCTTCCAGCCCATCAAATGTATGTCTGTGGTGACAGTGACTGGTGAAGCACGCAAAGGTTTACATCTCTTAAAACAAAAAATCCTGAGTTCTCTTGTGACTTGAAGATCACTTACATTATGCACTGACATCTTTTTAATAATTATGTAGACTACAGAGACATATCAGTACATGACATTCTCTACTTCTCTCTATGTCTCTCTTGGTCTGTTTGTCTGTCTGTCTGTTTGTCTTGCTCCCTCTGTCTGTCTCTGTCTCTGTCTCTTTTCTCTCTCTCTTTCTCTCTCTCTCTCTCTCTCTCTCTCTCTCTCTCTCTCTCTCTCTCTCTCTCATTTACTCTTTGTCCTCTCTACTAAGTAACAGGTATCATGATAAGTTTGCATCCCAACAGAATGTTCAGGAACTCTGCTTTTGGAATAACTGAACAATATGGAAAGATGTTGAGAGAGAGAGAGAGAGAGAGAGAGAGAGAGAGAGAGAGAGAGAGAGAGAGAGAGAGAGAGAGAGAGAGAGAGAGAGAGAGAGAGAGAGAGAGAGAGAGTAACGCAGTGATGGAGCAAGCCCATGCAAGCCATGCCACTACAAGCACACGCAGCGTGTGAAGCGAGAGAGGGCTGCGAGTGCCACAGATCTCGATCTAGCCCGAAACATAGATCTAGCAACACACACGCGTAATGTGTCACCAACGATGTCAAGCGCACGAGAAAATGCCTTTCAATTGACAAAAAATACGAAACAATCCAGGCTTTTGTCAAGAAGCAAGCTCTACTGGCAAAGATTTGTCGTCAGTTCGACATTTCACAAGGGTCGATTCACACCATTATCAAGGATAGAGAGAAGATAGTGGCAGAATACTCCAATGGAAAGTTTGCTCTGGATCGAAAGAAGATGAGACTACCC